AGACGTAATTCCATACGACAACTACTCTCTAATGGAGTTGTTTGTCTAGACTATGTAAAGTATAAGGACAACATTGCGGATCTATTAACCAAAAGGTTAACTTGAGAGGTAGTAGAGACGTCGTCAAGAGGAATGGGGTTAAGGCCTTTAATAATGTTACCGGAATGGAAAATCCAACCTAATTGACTGGATTCAAAGGGACAACCTAATTTCGTGTAACGGATAAGTCATTAAAGAAGTAAATCCTATTGTCCATTCCTTTGCACAGTGATACCCTGTAGGGGTGGAAGGTTAAACTAATGCTTTTAATGACCTAAGTGATATGAATAATCAACCGTGGTATAATGAGATACCTTATATAGCTCACTTATGTGAGTGCGAATTGGGGCCGCTTCTTTAATAATCGGTAAGGCCAAATTCTTTAAATACACTCACTGAACCAGGCTAGTTGTAACGCCCTCAAAATAAACTCATTATATATTTATCATTGACATGCAATATTTAAAGAAAACAATTCATTATCTCATTCATCAGAGTATTACTAAATAAAAGCATTACGTGTAACATCAAATTAAATGCCTTACGGGCTTACATCTTTCCAAGCCAACACTTGGATACTAAAAGATGAGTTCTAACTCAAATACAAGTAAAGCCCTAAGCTTGAATGTTTACATGTACTATCAAATAAAAACAACTAGCTGAAGATAGTCTTCAAAATCCAAGAGTCAAATCCTTCCAAGCTAAGTCCTTGGAGGTAACTTATCACCTGGACCTGAAAATGATGTTCCCATATAGGGTGAGTCACAGCCTAGTAGAAAAATACTAAACCAAATATAAGCATTGAATAAAGCTATAGCATTCAATAGATGGTTAACCAAGATAATCAACTATAACTTAATACAGTCTCATGACACTAATGTCTATGACATGTTTCAATTCCCATTATTATCAATATGGCTCAGAACCTGGCCAAACTTACAACAGTGAACTATATATCATATTCACATTACTTCCAATATCACATTACTTCCAATGTCAACAACACAGATGAGACTCAGGCTCATATCAAAACACTTCATACTTCCCGTTTGATACACATTGTAGTGCTGTATCAATAACATGTAAAAACACTTCAATATAATAAGCACACATAATAGTGATGCTAATGGAGTCCATCCCCTATCTCCTCCCAAACAAAATCCGGTTTAGAGGTCCATCCCCTATCTTCCCCTAAACCGTGGAGTACATCCCCTATCTCCTCCCAAACAATATGCATATGCAATGCTCAATCAATACATGTATTTTCTGTATTAATTCAATAGTCTAAATTTATGACTTAAACAAATAGATTAGTTTCAATTTTTTTCCTAATCTACATGTAATGGCTACAACAAACACGACTATCCTCCACCGATAGCCCAAAACAATTATTTCTAGACTGGAAATAAATATATCAACAATTTAATAGGCGAGTGATTTAAATTATCCAACTACGTCATTTAATCAATGAATTCCTCAATTTCATGAATTTAACCAAATTCCCCAATTTCCTTAAAGTAATTAAACAAATTAATTTATTAATACAACTAGGGTTTTTCCCAAAATTACCAAAGTACTCCCAACATATCAAAATACCAAAACTTAGAACAAAACTTATAAAATGAAGTAGGAAAATCCCTACCTCGAAAAAAATAACCCGAATGGAGAAGACGAAGATGAAGACCCAAATTCTAAAATGCTCCAAACCACCAAACGTTCAGATTGAATGAAAGCCCTTGACTCGCTCTATCTTTTTAATAAAGGACTAAGGTTAGATACTCACCCTAGGTAGATCAATTCTTAGAGAGAAGACAGGTTTAGAGAGAGAGAAAGAGAGAGAGACTCTCAAGGGGCGGTTTTTAAAAGTTAAGAAAGAAAAGTAGGTCAAAAAGTGATCCAAAAAGTGAAATCTCGGACTGATGTAGTCGACTCCCCGCTCGAGCGTCCAAACTCCCGCTCGAGCGTCGAATACGCACTCCCAATACTTTTGCAGAACCAGGTCCCCGCTCGAGCGACCAACTCCCCGCTCGAGCGGCACTCACACATTTCCGCTCGAGCGTCCAATCCTAAGCTCGAGCGTCCAACACTACACAGGAAATACTGGATGGGTGATAATCCCGCTCGAGCACCAAAACCCCCGCTTGAGCGGACAAGCAACAAAAGAATCCCCGCTCGAGCGTCAAACTCCCGCTCGAGCGGACAGGTCAAAATCTGGGCAACTAGTTTTGGCATCTAAACTCAACCGACCTGTAACAAACCTGCCCAACACATCCTATAACTCAAATATAAAGAGATTAAAGGACGACAACAACCAATATATAATGACAGGATCCACGGAACCTAAGTCCGGATACAATATACTAGTGTTCCAAGGCCATACCGGACACACAAGTGAGAACAAGAACAATAGTTAGACTAACTCCTGTGTGAGGTATATTGTCTCGGTTTACACAAACGGCAGAATAGTTCAAGACATCACGTTCACTGGTCAACTAGTAAATCTTATAGGTTTTCACTACGAAAGGTTCAAGGCCAACAACTACCTTTTTTGATGCAGGATTAGTCTGTGTGCTCTCTCTCCGAGTTTTTGGTGTAAACGTTGTCCATTTTTCTTCATTCAGTCAATTTTTATTCATGTGGGGGATTGTGGAAAAAAATGATTTTATGGTGACTTTAATGTGAAATTAAAGTACGTCCAAACTATTGGTTGAGATGAAATTAAATAGGTTTAGATTCTTTATAAGAAGATCTTACACCACAAAAAGAATGACCAAAAATCATTAAGATTTGAATGAGAAATTGACTCATTAAGTTGGCCTCATGAAAGAGGTGTTGAAAAAGGTGGCTGCAGGATTATACACAATACACATGTATATAAAACTTGCTAACTCCTTTGTATACATGATGGATTAAAGCCATCAATTTTGCAATTTATGTCTTGGGAGTTTTGTAAAATTAAAACCTGCATTTGTTGCAAGAGCCTTTTCCTCTCTTTCTCCATGTGTATAAAATGAGACTCTCTCCTTCATTCTTCTACACCAGAAAGTTTGCTCTCCCTTTGTGTTCAAAGTTTTCCTCTAGAATTTTTATTCTTCCTGTGTGAGAGAGTGCTGCCATTGTCGATTCGCCAAATCTAACAGAATGTGCTTCTGCGTTAGCCGGTCTAAATTGCCGTATCTTAGGAGACAGAAGTCGACGTACCTCCAGCACCCACGATGAGGCGGCTAATCTATTTTAAAGACAATGTGGTATTACATAGGTTTCGGTTTGCTTTTTTTACCATTTATCGTATCATGTATTTCATATGGTTGTAATATTTAGCATGTTTTCTCATTCTGTAAAGTAATTAATTAATCATGAATTTATTTATTTTGTTTGATTTACACAATTTGGACAACACAACGTTCTTGTCAAGGAAAGAAAGTCAATCTATAATCATAACTAAGATATTAACTATGCTGGCATAAAAATAATATATATATATATATATATATATATTTATAACAAAAAATAAAAGAATAGAAGGAAAATTGAGAAATAAAAGAAGAGAACTATATATACAATGGCAAGATGCTATTTCACATCGCTAACCAATAACTAAGCCCCCAAGGCCATGTAGTAATATGTCGATGTAAACCTAATAGTCATTCATTTAAGTGCACAAGGTCAAGGTCACCTAATAAATGTCTAGGTCAAGTTATATTCTTTTGAATGGAAAAGCATTTAGGGATAACAAGGGTATATAAATGACTCAAGCACAAGGGGACGTTGTTTTAGATTACGTAAATTAGTTTTAAATAGATAAAATGATGACCTCTTGCAAAAATAAACTTACTAGGTTTGGACGGTACCAAAAGTGATGCTAAAAAAGACTTAAATTGAAAATTTAATGGAGCAAAAGAATACATGCTCCAAATGTTGTTGAAATTGCATTTTAGGTTCAAGATGGTAGTACAACGATTATTGTTCATGTTAATACAATTCTATTCATATTTTATGTTTTACTAGACATTGGTATAAACAATTCACACTACAACATTTTTTTAGTTTAGTGACATTTGAAAGTGTCACAAAACTATTTTTCTAATGACATCTTTTAATCTTGTGGTATTTTAAACGAGTGCCATTTATACCCGTGCCACGGTAAATACTAGTGACACATCAGTGACGCTTGCAAGTGCCACTACACCATCATGGCTAAAAACTTTCAATAATACTTTGATGTCATAATAGATACTATTTGTGACACAATCAAGCACCATTAAAAAAAGACTTAGTGGCACTTCAGTGACACTTGTAAGTGCCATTACACCATTAGGGCTAAAGACTTTTAGTGACACTTTCATGTCATGGTAGACACGAATACTATCAAGTGCTATTAAAGAAGACCTACAATCTAAAAAATGCCACTATATGAATTTTTAATGACGCTTGTTATGCCACAATTGATATTTTTAATGTCATAAATGCCACTAAATCTAATTCATTTGTGCCATTAAATGGATATAAGTGTCATTGGAGCTTATTGTAGTGACACTTTGCGAAGCCACTATCACTATTACAAAATACCACTTATATGTTCTTTTCATTGACATTTTTAAAAATCACAACTAAGCATGCATAAATGCCTGTAAAAATTGAATCGATTTTAACATCAATTGAATATTAATTGTCACATCCTATATTAATTTGACATTCATTCATCCTATAATATTTTCACAATAATAAACAAATATTATCATCATAGGATCAACACATCAAAAACAAAAAAAAATTCAAACCACAATCATTTTTTTTTATCTAAAAATATAAATTTATTTATATTGCAATAAAAATCATAATCAAATTTATAAAATATTCTACCACATTGGCAAAGTTAAAGCAAAAAAACATTAAAAGAAAATTATTTCAGCCATAAGTTCTGAAAAGTCATAGTGATATCCATCTTCCGGAGAGACAAATTATCAAAACAAATTTAGTTTCCAAATTTTCAACCTCACTTGTATAGATGTTCTCAGCTAGCATTCATAACTTGCGAAATCTGCATCCAAAAGATAAACATATAAAGGTAATTGAAACTATATTAAGTTAATATAAATTTGTTAATGAAATTAGTATTTACGAAAGAAATATAACATAAATAAAGCAGGCCAAGCAACATGAGCTCCAATAGCTTGTCCATTTGTTTTGAGAAGTCCATATGATCAGATCAAGCTCTCATTAGGTTTAACTGGCACTTGAACATCTACCTCCCAATAATCAGGTTCTAGTTCTGCCCCTTCTACTTCTTTAGATGGGTTTGTGCTTTTAAATACTCCAATTGCAACTGTTTATGTTGGCCTGATGATACTTTTTAGAACTATATCTCCCACCTGCAAATCAAGATTTAACTACTTAAATAATTATATATTTACAATTAATAAAAAATATTTAAAAAATAAACTAGTAGAAAGTGTCAGAGTGAAGATGATCACAACTGAAAGTGATATGCATTTCTCTAGTAGATAAGCAAGCCACATGATTTAATCACTTAATTGGTTCACCACACTACAACAAATTATATAAATGTAACAACCGTAAGTCATTAGACCATATCAAACAATAGCTTAAAAAATCAATCACAACCGAAGGCACCAATCAATAACAATCAAAACCATGCCCATTATCAATATCATGATCCCCTAAACTCAAAAATGTAAATCAAATGTAATCGTGAAAAATAACAATCAACTAATTACTAGACGTAAAAGATACAACAAAGCATCTTTTGTTAGTGTTCTTCTTTTTTTAATGAAAGCATCATTCATTACTCACATATAGAAGCGATGAAAAAAATAAGGGTAGAGTTATAATTCAAGCCAAAAATGTTGGCTTGTACATGCATAAAACCAGACTCACTTTACTTACAGATTCATTATTACCGGACTATTTTATCATAAAACTCATAGGATAGATTCTCAGATTTTTTGCTCCAAAAGTTTTCAAAAAATTACGAAATGCCTATCAAAAGTAAAAAAGGACTGATCTTCAACTCAACAAAGCCTTGTCCCCATTATTTGGGATCATCTAAATAATTCTTGTTTCAATTTTTTTTGAAAAAGACTTGAATGTTAAAAGTTGAAAAAGAACATGGAAAATTAAAATTTCATAGAAGGAAGGGAAAACTATATTGAAATTATTACAACACAAGCAATATGTGTACTGGAAAAGAGCAAGGAAGAAAGAAAAGAAAGCTGATGCAATACTACTTTAGATAATGTAAGAGTAGAAATAAGAACGAAGCAAAAATTGATAGCAAGAGAGACACACATAAAGTCACCATTCTGCATTTTTATGAATCAACCTGGGATGGGAAGAGAGAAGTAATAGGACCTCAAATTAACCCAAAAAATGTAGAACTGCTGGAGCTGGAGAAGTGCTTCCAATATGTAGTTTGGTCAAAGAATATAAATAAAGAGGTACAATAAAACAAGACATCCATGTGACCAGCGATGCTTAATAGGTAGTCAAAAACAATGTAGATAAAATGAGCAAAGCCAAGATTGGAATTCTGCAATTGATGAGTGGCAATGGAAGTTAAAACAAGAAACAAAAGCACTAACGAAACTAGGAGAGGAACAAAATAAGAAGATAAGTCTATATCATCTGAGCTGGCCTGAAGACGAAAGAACAAGCAATAAGAATGCCGTCCGAATGAAAAGAGTAATCTATTCCCTATGAATAATGCCGCAGTGAAAACAAGCCATGAAACAATCTAATAATCAAGATTATATGATAGAATCTAGTTTAAGACAAGTGATGAGTGGCTACACAATTTGTAATGAAGAAATTCATGCACAACATTCAAAATTAATAAACAAGTTATTAGATCTCTGAAATTAAAACCAAAAATAAAAAAACCCATTAAAAAATAAAAAAAATAAAAAAACACAAAGAAAGAAGAAGACCTTAAAAAAAACACAAAGGTCAAAAGGCCCAGCAAACTCACAAAATTAAATCCATTGCATTTTGTTTTTCATAAAGGAAAGAAAGATGGAACAAATCCCACCAACAAACAAAATCTTTTCATTTATTTTTTCAGATACAAACCTTCAAATTTGTAAATTACAAAGTCCGCATATATCAAGAGAAAGATACATGATCATAATCAAAACCTCACCAAATTCAAATGATGACAAAATGATAGATAATACCTTGAAAAGGTTGAAAGGCATTTGTTTCTGAATACGAAAACTTCGAACTTTGTCATGATCCACAAGATCAAAATATATATATCCCTTCCAATCTGTTCAAGAAGGTCCTCATCACGAGCAACCTGAGGCAGCAAATAACTAATTTAGAAAACAATGATCCACAAAGAATAGATGCATATATTTTCAATAAGTAACAACTATTGGGGAGAGAGTTTAAAAAGTTGTAACCTTTATGATAGTATAAAGATGTGCTTCTGCTTTTTCCTTTCTCTTTTGTTCCTTTTCTTCTTGTTCTTTCTTCAACCTTCTGGAATTTGATGTCCACAGAGCTTAGTATAATTTGTTTGACAGAACAACATCAGAACTCAAGTTGACAAGAACAGTTCAAATAACTTACCCTAAGCCTGGAGGACAAAACAGGCAGCAGGGGGGGTGCACAAAGTATATTTATCATTGAGTTCAGCCAATTAGCTTTTGGACTTGTCTTAGCCCCTTCCAGTTGCACCAATAAGAGCCTAATAACTAAGATGTCTCTATCCCAAACTATTTTCTACAGAGCTGGTGACCAATCTTTGCCTACCAATAAGCTATCAAGCCACACCTTCAATCTAATAACCCAAGAGAGCATTGTTTATTTTAATTGTTATGAAATGAAAAGAAGATTTGAAATATCAAACCATCACAATGAGAAAGAATGGGCATAAAATATCCATAGCCTAATTATATGACAACTCTACTCAAGACAATTTGCAGATTCATACTGAAAAGGCACCCTTCCTGCTATTTATCCAAAAAGAAAAAGAAAAAAAGGCACCCTTCCTGCTGCAACAAACATAAAATAACTAAACTAACACGATATGTACCATCCATCAATGTCATTATCAACCATTCAATAAATATTGAAGAACCCATTAATCACAATAGCTGATCATGCAAAGTTTAAACAAATACCCAAAAATTCACAAACCACAGTCAATTTGCAGCAATGAGCAAATGAACAAGGCTAAAAAAATGTAATCACAAGATTCAAGTGTAATATGCATATATCATGTATACACCCACGCACACACAGAGAGGGAGAGAGAGGGAATAAACAGAATTACACGCTGGCATCTTCCCTTCCAAGAAGCTTGACTGGAGTCCCAGATCGCGGAGACATGAGATGAGCAGCTGAGAGCCCCTCACGACCGAGAATCTTACCAGGCCACCACGAGCCATTCCGTCACCGAACCCAGACAATTGTTCCAACACTGCAATCAACCACAAGTGTTCCCATATCCGAACTGCCCATCTCTCTCTCTTTCTCTCTCTCTCTCGAACTGTTCTGTTTTGCCTCTTTGTCTCTAACCCTAGTTGCTCTTCAAATTTTGCTCTACAGATTCTGCCTCTTTGCCGTGTTTCATTATTTCTTTTGTTTCATAATGTAAAAACAGGTGGAGTAATGAAGTGAAGAATGGATTGTGTACAAAAAATTTATTGATTTGTTTATAAATAAATTTGTTCACATTATAAATAAGAAAATAGATATTAATTTTGTTCTTTATATTTTTATTTAGATCAATTTTAACTTTTAATCAAAAATGTGTCAATAAATTAGATTTTAATAAGATTGATCTAAATCTAAATAAAATCTTATTAAACATGTATAAGAGGAGTTAGATTTTTTAGAAGTTAATTTATTGACAAGTGCTAAATGCTCAACCCGGAAAGATCAACTACAGAACTGCCCCTTCAGAGCTCTTGTTAGTAAGGCCTATTACATTTATGTTGAGTGTTTAGGGAATAATAGTAAACATATACATTTGTGATTAGTAAAAGGTAGTGTCACGTGATATTCTATTAACATATAAAAATTTCTCCTTGTTAAGGATGTAAAAGTCCTGCTCCAAAGCACAGAATGCTTCATCACACTTGTCTATCATGAAGCGAATAAATGCGCTGATGAACTTGCCCATATAAGAGTAGAGCAAACAGAGGACTTAGTAGTCTATGAAGACCCCCTAGAATCTCTTAGGCCGCCGATATGGTCGGAGCTGTGTATGAGAGGGTCTAGCCCTCTTTAAACTCTTCATTTTAAACTTTCTATGTATTTTCTTCCCGCGAGTTTTTCAATAAATAAATAAACAAACCCATAGACTTGGTTGATTAGAAATATGACATGTCACAAGAACAAAGATTGAAAGGAAGTGAAAACAAAATCAATTTTAAATTTGGAACCAACAATTGAACCATGTTCTTGAGAGAGAAAAAAAACAAACAAACAAACAAACAAAACAAAATAGCAAGGAAAGAGAGATCGCGGAATAGAGAGAAAAGGTACATAGATTGGGATTCAAATATATTACAGCAGACCACTGGCCTTATAGGCCAAGCGGAATCCCATGCTTTGTCAAGCTAGATGCTAGGGGCTCAAGTCTCCTTTTGCCTTGCCAACCAAAGAAAGAAAAAAAAGTACAGCAAATTTGTCACCAAGAGAGCACAAGGGAGCTTTGAGCACCCAAACAATTAAAAAATTCAGTTGCTCCAGCTATCATGAGTACGAAAATAAAAGAAATGAAGAGAAGACGTTTGTTGCTTTGTCAAGTGTACAAATGAAGTATGTGATTGAGATTCTTAGCCAAGAAAAAAGGAAAGTGTGTCGATGATTTGCTGCCTCAGATTTGTAGGATATTGATACTAAAAGCTTCTTATCTCAAAAACGAGAACAGAATAATCAAATTCGACCAATATTCACGATGAATATATACTAGTGGATCTTATGTTAAAACGATATCATTTCTACATTTTTATTGTGAGACCCTTCAAGAGGAATATATCAGTCCTTGCAAGAGACCCAAAAGTTGTGAATTGTGGTGGTCTGAAAGGATCAAATCCAAATTTCAAACCAATAATAATGAATTTTATAGTACAATAAGAGAAGAAAAGGATGGCAAATTACTTTGTGATTAGAGAGTTGCTAATATATTGAACAATTAGATAATCAAATTAATAGAAGTCGAAGGTCTAAAAAACCCATTAAAAAAATCATTAATAGTTTGACGAGTAATGGTAAATTAACTATTAAACCTACAAACCAAATTAATTTGTTCTTTGTGATTATTGTCTAGATATGTTTCTCAATAGTTTGACGAGCAACGGTAAACCAACTACCAAACCTAAAAACCGAACTAATTTTTTCTTTGTGATTATTGTCCAGTTATGTTTCTCAATATATTTCATTCACTCATCAATATTTTGGCACCCACCAATAGTAAAAATACATAGGTTCTTCGTTGGTCAACAGCCTTTACAAATGAAATAGGAGAATTACTTTGTGATTAGAGAGTTGCTAAAATAATGAACAACTAGATATGACTTTTTTCTTTTAATAAACCTTTGATGTTCATTAATAGAAGTCAAAGGTCGGAAAAAACCATTAAAGAAGTTATCAATAGTGTGGCGAGCAACGGTAAACCAATTACTAAACTTACAAACCGAACTAATTTGTTCTTCGTGATTATTGTTTAGATATGTTTCTCAATAGTTTGACAAGCAATGGTAAACTAACTACTAAACCTACAAACCAAACTAATTTTTTATTTGTGATTATTGTCCAGTTATGTTTCTTAATATATTTCATTCACTCATCAATACTTTGGCACCCACCAATAGTAAAAATAGCGGATGTTCTTGATTGGTCAACAGCCTTTGCAAATGAAATAGGAGAATTACTTTGTGATTAGAGAGTTGCTAAAATAATGAACAATTAGATAAATAAATATATGACTTTTTTCTTTTAATAAACTTTGACGTTCGTTAATAGAAGTCAAAGGTCTAAAAAAATCATTGAAGAAGTTATTAATAGTTTGATGAGCAACGGTAAGCCAACTACTGAATCTACAAACCGAACTAATTTGTTTTTCGTGATTATTGTCCAGATGTGTTTCTCAATATATTTAATTCACTCATCAATATTTTGGTACCCACCAATAGTAAAGATAATGTAGGTTCTTGATTGGTCAACAGTCTTTGCAAATGCAACATTTCGCCACCTTGCCAAAATTTTGAATTACATCCTTACTTAGAAACTCAAGAGGTCGAATAGGAAGTAATATCAATCATATTAGAAATGACACATTGTTGATGTTACAAAACCATTTCATTGCAAAAGACATATATAAATTTATCGAATAGGAAATAAAATCAATTTAACATATCAGAAATGACACATCCTTGATCTTAAAAACCGTTTCATTGCAATAAATTTACAACTGTCTAAACTATTACAGCAAGAGAAAAGAAAAACATCCTTAACTAGATGGAAGAGAAGACTAGAAAGGGGGGAAGGGGGGGATGAAAAAAACAAAAACTAAAATGATTTTGCAAACAAAAACTGTCATACATTATATATGGTCTCCACGCATGAATGGACAGCAAACCACGGAGAAAGTCGTAGGCTGTCAAAATCACAAGGGCGCAGTTTCAAATCGCAAAGCTTCTTGAAAATCTTGTCCTTGAAGGAATAGGCTATGACTTTGCCAGGTACGTAGAAGACCAAACACGAATCCCCTTCATCGTCTCCTCCAAGGAAGCAAAGCATGTTGTATTTATAAGTCATACAACCCCGGCCAGGGTGCTTACTATACATCTCCGGAAAATCCACTACACCCAAGTGAAGATCAATCCGGTGTTTCACAAACCACTTGGAACAGTCAGCCTTCAACTCCAACACTTGAAAATAACGAATGCAATCATCATGGAATTCAACTAATTGTAGATGGCCTCCAAACTCCCCAAAATACAGTAGCTCCTTTGTGAGTCGACCATGAGGCATCGGATATGGGACGAATCTATGTCCAATACAATCATAATAGATTGATATCTCGGAGAGACAACTAGGCCAATAAATCTTCCCTTCAAGGAAGACACCATTTTCGAATATTATACTCGACAAGTAAGTAAATGATAATCCCGAAAACACCCAAGTTCGAGTGGAGGAGGAATACAAGGCAACACAAAAATCAACCCCGCGCCATTGTCTGGCACGGACAGCAAGTATCTTGTAGTCAGGTGAAACAGAGGGATCAAAAATCAAGGTCATAGAAACAACAAAGTTTCTCTCATCCCCATTAACCGGCCTAGGAATAATCGAATACTTCTTTGTGGTGGGGTTCAGAACATAGTATTTAGTATCAACATAATCCAAAGAGTAACAAGATGAAGAGCAAAGCAACAAACCATTACAGGACTGACAGATTTTCACACCTTCAGGATCATCGATGAAGCTAAATGACCGAAGCTTCTTCTTCTTTTTATTTTCTAACACATTGAGAGAAACATGGTTGAATTTGATAGTGTGTGAAGTGACAGAGTTGTACCTTCGGTAGTAGAACGCAGAAGGAGATTTCGGAGCAATCCAATCACGCATCACGTAAGGATCCGAGATCAGAGATAGCCATCTGTGCGACACGGCCTTGAAAGAAAACAGAGGCTTTGCCGGTAATCGAACGAGGATCTGCTTCAGAAGATCATCGTTGCCGATCACCTTCTGTACAGAGGAGCTGAAAGGGAGGGCGGTGGCTGAAGGGGAAACGCGGCGGCGCTGGCGGCGGTGGAGGAGGGCGGAGGAAGACATGGCTAGGAGAAGCAGAGGAGGGTTTGGAGATTGGGATTGGGATGACAAAGACGATGAGAATGAGGGTTCCATATATAGGGAAAGTGGGGTTGAATGAATTGAATGCGTAGAGTAGAACAGAGAAGCATACACACACACACAGAGACACACAAATCAGTTACGATTCTTTCTTTCTTAGCTTTTCTGGAAAATGGCATTTGCTCTCTATTTCTTTCACAGGGATCAGAGTAGTGCTTTATTTGTTAAGAGATGTTGCCGTTATTTCCCTTCCCTCCTTTCCCTAAAAATTTTTAAAAAATTACCAAAAAAGAGTCTAGAGTTTAAACTTATAATAAAGAGAAATCCAATTTTTTTAATTTTTAGATTTACTTTCAATCTAATCTATTTATCTTATTCTTGTTAAGTAAAATATATATATATATATATATATTATTTATTAAGCTCAATTGGAAAAGGGTATAATAAACTTTTTTTTGTATACTTACATTGAGGGTAATGATTAAACTATATTTTTTTATCAATTTTACTTAATAAAAATAGGTAAATAATTTAAATCGAAAACAAATCAAAAGATTAGAATTTAAATTGATAAAATTAAAATTTTATAATTTATTTTGTTATAAGGTTTAAAGATTGGAATTTTTATTTTTTTTAATAATTTTTTTAAAAATTTTAAATGCAACGGTTATTAGCAAATGTTGGATTACTTTGAGATAGGATTTGTCCATTTAATCCCATTAGAGTTTTTTTTATTTGGTAAGTGATTTCATCATTACCCTTAATATATTTTTGAGTAGATTACAAATAAAAATTTTGAAAATCACATATAAGTTACAA